AAAATTATTCTATTTTAAAGACAAGTATATTAATAAATCAATATTAAGTAATTATTTTAATTTTATAATCAAAATTATTAAAGACAATGATGAATTGAGGATTGACGCGCGTATCTGTTAAAGTGAATTAACTATTTTTGATACCAAATTAGAAATATTTTACATGAAAAATGAGGGATATATATATTGATAGTTTTTTTTATGTGAATTTTTAATATAAGTAATATATTTATATTTTTTTAATATATAAACAGTAAATCCGATTAAACCCGGTTGAACCAGTGACCCAGTATCTCGACCGAGTCGATGACCGATCCGAGTTTTAAAATACTGGTTAAAACTATTAAAAATTTATTGAAATCTTTATCTATGTGTTATTAAGTTTATTCGCTCGAGCATTTTAATACTCAGTACCAGAGTCGGTAATAGGATGGAAGAATGTCAAAATCTAAACTGATTACTTCTCCTTTTTATGTTGTTACATGACAAGATTATTGTTCTTATAAATATTATATTTTTCATATTGTTTTAAATACGACAAGATATATTTATTTATTTATTTGAAGTCACACTTGCTCACTTGAGTACATCCAAGACCATATAAAGCCAAATTACATTTTCTCTTTCGAGATTGTTTAATTTTTTTTTATGAAAATTGAAAAAAGTCATAAAAAATTTTAATTTAAAAAATATATTATGTTTGATTAAATTATTCTTTTATTTATTTATTAAAGTTACCAAAAAATAAGGAAATATTAAAAAAATAATGACTCCTTAATTTTTTAAAATAACAAATGAAATACCCCTTTTTGAATTGGAAAATAACGAATATTTTCAAACGGGGGCTATATACCTGGCTACCGTTAAACTGAAGATTCCCTCGTTGAATAGGTAACACTGATTTCATTATTTCATTAAGGGTGTGTTTGGTACAGGAGAAATTTTTTGGTGACCGAGAATCATGATTAATGGGAATTCAGTAGAAATTGAGTTTACTTGGAATCTTACGAAAGATGTGTTTGATTCGCCAAAATATTACCGGGAATACTGGGTAAAAATTACTGATTCCATATTTGGTTTAGAACGAAATATGACTTGGAATATGAGGTTATTTTACAAAAATAACCCCAAACTATTTTTACTTTTGTAATTGATAGATTGGGTCTAGGTTTTTATGTGTATTGGGGTATTTTTGTCTCAAAATTTATTGTTGTGCTTTCCCTTTACTTGGTATTCTGATTGGTATTCCGAATTACCATATTATTTTTGGTAATCTGAATAGTGACTTTTCTTTATAAATCAAATTACCGGTAATCCTTGGATATCCGGGAATCGTAATTTATTCCTTCTACCAAACGTGGTAATTACATTTACCAAAGAAGAATTACCGGTAATCCTCTCAAAAAACTTGAACCAAACACCTCTTAATCTAAAAGACTTAATTGTGATTTGGCGTTTGACTTATTGCCTGAGTTTTGTGAAAGTGGGGACTAATCTTTATTAACCATTATTAGGATGTGTCAGTTTTTTATCCTTCAAGTACATTACTCCAAGCACACAACTACTAGCGGACGATTTTTTTTTCCCACACCATGTTTAAAAAGGCATATCAACTTTTTATTTATTTATTTATTATTATTATTATTATTATTATTATTATTATGATGCAAAACTGAAAGTTTGGGATGAGGGAGAAAAGTTGTAGCCCTCAATGTGGTGGAGAGAAAAGGAAGTCGCAGTGAATGCTTTGGATAGGTCACCAAGAAAAGAAATTCGGGCTGAATAATGAAGAGGGAATTTCTTATGTCTTTTTTTACAAGAAAGAAAACAAAGAAAAAGTGTCTCTTGATTTTGGGAATGGATGACTTACCCATGAAAGTGATATCTGGCTATCTGCAATGATGTGGGGGTTTGGAAACCATTAATATAAAGGATAACGGATCAAAATGTCACTGTTCACCAACTTTTTTTTCTAAATGTCACGCGAACAGTGTTATTTTTCAATCTGCCACGGGGAAGTTCGCTTCTGACACAGACGAACTCGGTTTGCTGACGTGTCACATTTTTAGTGGATAACAAGTATCAAATTTAAAAAAAAAAAAAAAATGAAGGTCGCCTACATGGTAGGCGAACTTAGTTAAAAACAGAGGTCGCCTGTGTCAGAAGCGAACTCTGACACCACCAGTTTTCTGACACATCATCATGCATAGTTCGCTACTGCTGCAAGCGACCTTGCCTGCGTGGCAGTTTGAAAAATTAGTTCAGGAGCGTGGCATTTAGATAAATTTGTGTGGAAACAGTGGCACAATAGTCATTGTTCCTAATATAAACCTCAATACAGCACAACACCAAAACTGTGATTTGTAAGCATGTGAGACCATTGATCTTTTTTGATCTGATGATTCTCAGATGAAGTGTCAAATATGACACTGATGTCAAAAGATCCTACCTATATATATATATATATATATATATCACATTTGAGAAGCTCTGTTTTGGAGCAACTGAATGGACATTGTTTTGTGGGGACTGTGCAGCGAGATTACGTGGCACCATGTCAGTAAGTTTAAGGCCACGTAATATCGCTATACTGTGTACCAAGATTACTTGGCAGGGACTAATTAGCTGCATTGTGCCTGTGCCACATTTTATGACACGTGGATTAAGAAGACAAATAAATGCTGATTTTTTTTTTGAAAAATATGATAAACAATAAAGATGATGTGTCCATGTGAAAACGATAAAGACGAATTGATATCCAATAAATGTTGATTTATTTTTTGTTTTCTTTTTGAAAAACATAATACACAATAAAGACGATGGAATGCCCATGAAAAAATTATAAAGACGATTTAATGTCCAATAAATGCTGATTTATTTTTTTGTTTTCTTTTTGGAAAATATGATACACAATAAAAACGAAGGAATGTTCAGATGCAGTATTCATGCAAAAATGATAAAGACAATTTAATGTTCATTAAATGCTTTTTTTTTCTTTTTGGAAAATATAATACACAATAAAGACGATGGAGTGTCCAAATAGAGTATACATGGAAAAATGATAAAGATGATTTAATGTCCAATAAATGCTTATTTGTTTATTGGTCCTCTCAATTCACCACATGTCAAATTGTTACTGGCGTCACATAAAACGCTGCACAATGCAGCAAATTAGGCTCTGCCATGTAATCTCGTTACACAGTGTAGTGAGATTATGTGGCCTTAAACTTGCTGACATGATGCCACATAATTTCGCTGTACAGAGTAGCGAGTTTGGGGACGTAACATTTTGACAAATTTTTTTCCTAGCATGGGAATCCGGTAAATTTTTACAAAAAAAGTTGCCAAAAGGGTTGTTTTTCTTGTTTTGTGCTTTGGTGGTCACTTATATTAATTGGGAAAAATGTGTGTCATTTTAAAGGATGTAAAGTTGTGTCATTTCAAAGGATGTAAAGTTGTGTCATTTCAAAGGATGTAAAGTTGTGTCATTTTAAGAGAGAGAAAGAGATAGATAAAGGAAGGCAGAGAGAGTTGACAAAAAAAAATAAAAGCGTGGATCCCGTCTTTTTGTGAGAGTGAAATGACACAAATTGTGTTATTTTAAAGGATAAACATTTTTTTCATATTAATTAGCCGGTAACATTTTTTTTTTTCAAAAAAGATAAAACTAGTTGTAAGAGTTATAAACTTTTTTTGGTGGTAAGTGGATCCGTTCCCTTTTTTAGCATGACAATCCGATAAAGCTTTACAAAAAAACTTGTTTTGTGCTTTGGTAATGGTGGTCACTTATATTAATTAGCCGGTAACAGTTTTTTTTTTCTTTAAAAAAGGATAAAGCTGTATAATATTTTCAGATCTTACAATGATGTGAATCTCATGTATTAGGCACCTAAATTTCAATTAAATTTTCTTTCAAATATTTTTTAATTTTTTTATATATCACTTGATAACGAAATACATCAAATAATGTGTGGAAAGTATTTTCTTTGAAGGCTTCCATGTTATGTTGATGTGTTAACAAGAAAAATAATTTGAATACGTTATGGACCTGTTTGGCCGCCGACACTGGCATGTGGTGAATGTGTGCACAAATGCCTAGTTTGCTTTGGTTTGTTTAACGAAACGTTTTTTTTTTGAAAAAAAAATAAAAATTTATTTGCTTGTTGGCAATTGAAGATTGGGGTTGAGGGGGGACCAGACCCTTTTGCATTTACAAGTCATTTATGATTAAACTTTGCTCATCATGTCATTGTAGCAGAAAGGTGCTACATTTATGTTTTGGTGGGTTGTTTCTTATCAAAGACAGCACAGAAGCACATGGACGAGACGTTGCTCTTCCTTTTTACTTAACCCTTTGGAAAAACATAGTTTGCTTCGTAAATTTGGTCAACCAAAGCGTTATTCTCATGCCCGTTTTAAATGTTACATCTTGGAATAATTACAATCTAGCTGCTGATTTTTACCTTTCTTCCTAACTCCAGTTTTTAAATCTTATTTCAAACTAAAGGCAAGTTCTCTGAAGCCCCAAATTCAAAATAAATCTGGGTTTGAGAATAGAGTAAAAGTAATTATTGTCTTTGTTTTACCGTGATTAACGCTCTTACATGTGTTGGGTCAATGTTGTCACTTCCATTCTTCCATTTTCCACTTTCCACTTTCCACAAAGCAAAAAGTAGACATAATGCGATTCAGCTGTGTTTAGATTAATCTTTGATTTTTAAAGTGATGCGGAGAAGCTTCTAATATCAAATTTATTATCTTTATTGCTTTTTCATAGTTTGCTAATCATTCAAGTTCAGTATCTCAGCCAAGAAATCAGGAGGGAGACTTCACAAGACTCTTGGCTTTCAGAACATCCCGAAACTTCGTTCAGGCCATTAACCTAATTTGTCACAAATAAAATTTCATTGTTTCATATAGCATTTCCCTGCTTTAGTCACCAATGAGGTGCCACTTATGAGAAGCTTTTCTGGCATCTACAACACTGCAACAACAGCCATATTTATTACCCTGAAAACATGTTCAAGTCATGGAGCAAGAAGAACAAGATCAGAGCCGTATTCAAATTGGAATTTCAGGCAACTCAGGTAAGTAAGATGAAGACAGAGAAATCTGTAGTCATATGCTACTAAATCCAAAAATGGGGTTTGATCTAGCTGTTATAATTGAAACATATTGCCCAAAAAGTTTGAAATTTACACAGCATCACATATTTGATTTTTGGATAGAAGAGTTTGAAAGTTTGTGTAATGTGGGGAATGTCATACACAAACCAATGTATAGATTCTGCAGGCAGTGTCTGACCTTGTTCTGCATCTCCTTTTTTTATCAGGTTCCAAAGATGAAAAAGTCTGCACTGATGGTATCTTTGGTGCCTGATGATGTTGGGAAGCCAACCGTGAAACTAGAGAAAACCGCTGTCCAGGATGGGACCTGCTTATGGGAAAATCCAGTTTTTGAATCAGTGAAACTCATTAGGGATGCAAAGTCAGGAAAAATTCATGAGAAAATCTACCATTTCATTGTTTCAACTGTAAGCAGTAGTTGTAATTTCACACTGTCCTTTAACCTATTACAGCGTTGGTTGGAAAGTCTAATTTTTATGGGTTCTTGCAGGGATCTTCAAAATCTGGCTTTCTTGGAGAAGCCTCAATTGATTTTGCTGATTTTGTTGCAGAAACCGAGCCAATGACTGTTTCTCTACCCCTAAAGTTTGCCAATTCAGGCGTAGTTTTACATGTTAGTATCCTCTATCTCCCTCTCTACCTTGCTTCTTGTCTCACTCTCAACATGAATATGAGCTTTGTTTCCTTACATGCTAAAACCACTTCAACATTTTCCAATTACAAAAACCATTCAATTCATAATTTCTCACATTGGAATTGTTGAGACAGGTGACTATTCAAAACGTGGAAGGATATACAGCTGAAAGGTGAAAATGAACCATAACATCCAGTTAATTTAACTTTTGCAAATTTCCTTATGCTTATTTTTATTTTACTTCTCTCCAATATGCGCTTACAACCTTATATCTTAATTGCAGAAATGGGGAAGATAATGTATCTGTGGGACCTTACAATGATGGAAGTTTGAAACACCAACTGAGCTATAGCAGCACGGATCATGAAAGTTATAATGTTGATGAAGTAAGGTCTCAAACATACCTTTATATGTCTAGCAATTCTATTTAACTAAGTTGAAACTTCCCTAAACAATAACTTCTTAAGAGGATGAGCACTGAAAATAAACAATCCATTTTATAAAACTATAGTTACATTAGCTTTTACTATTATCTTATAGGATGGGCAGATGGACAAGACCAGATCTGAGTATTCTGAACAAAATGCATCTAATGGCATCAGTCCTGGGGTAGCTTCATGGGAGGATCCTTATAGCTTCAGAGAGAATTCAATGACATCAAAAGGAACTGTTGAGGCCATTGCAACAAAATCCAAAGTGCATAAGAGGTCAAACACAGACTGGTCAATGGGTTCAGCATCAGATGGAAGTTTAGGTGACTGGACAAACAGCCTGGAAGATAATCTTCCAAGAGAAAGATTACGAGAGCCTTCAGATAATGTTACTGAAAAGCTCAAAAGTGAAATTACTTCTCTAAAGAGGCAGGCAGAACTATCAGAATTAGAGTTACAATCACTTCGGAAGCTGATAGAAAAAGAAAGCACTCGGGGACAGAATTTGTCTAGACAGATAATCAGCCTCAGAGATGAGAGAGATTGGCTCAAAACCAAATATGAGCAACTTAAGTCCCAACAAAACTTCAATAATGAGACCAAAACCTCTAATACCTTGAAGTCTGAGAATGAAGATACTAAGCTTCAGTTAGAGGCAATAAAGGAAGAGCTTGTTTATGAAAAAGAGCTGTGTGCCAATCTTCAGTTGCAACTACAGAAGACACAAAACTCAAACTCTGAACTACTTTTGGCTGTGACAGACCTTGAAGCAATGTTAGAGGAAAAGAATAAGGAAATATTGGATCTATCTACCAATATAAAATCCCAAAAGCTTACTAAAGAGCATGGTAATGCCAAAGAATTAGATCTCTTGCAGCACAAAATTGCAGACCAGAATGTTGAAATAGACAATTACTACAGGCAACATGAAGAGCTAAGCGAGCATATAAAAGAGCTCACTTTGGAGTATGATCTTCTTAAGAAGGAAAACGTGGATATCTCTTTGAGATTAAAGCAAGATGAAGCACAACACATCATGTTACAAAATGAACATTCAGCTTCTTTAGTTGCAGTACAACAACTTGAATCACAAGTGGAGAGATTAGAAGAAAAGCTAAAGATGCAGGAAGATGAATTTTCGGCATCTTTGGTCTGCATCACAGAACTGGAAAATCAAGTCAATTCTTTGGAGAAAGAACTGAAAATACAGGCAGAGAAATTCGAAGATGATCTTCATGGTATGCAATATGCAAAAACTGAACAGGAAGAACGGGCCATCCAAGCAGAAGAGGCCTTGAGAAAGACGAGACACAATAATGCACTCGCATCTGAGCGTTTTCAGGAGGAATATAGTTTGCTTTCTATTGAAATGGCATCCAAAGTTGAGGAGAATGAAAAGGTGACTATGAAAGCAGTCGCAGAAGCTGATGAACTCAGGCACCAGAACAAACTAATAGAAGAAATGCTCCATAAATGCAATCAAGAGCTCAGGCTTATTACAGGTCAGAATGAATTGAAAGTTCAAGAGCTCTTGAACCAAATAGATTCAAAAGCAAAAACAATAGAACAGATGTCACAAGAACTGGAAGTTAAGTCTAAACAACTTGAGGATGCACAAAGGCACAGGGATGAAAAGGACGCTGCATTTTCAAAGCAAATTCAAATGCTTAGATCTAGAATTAAAAAGTTGATGGCAGAGGAGTGTGCATTATCTAAACCCAAGCTAACAAAGAACATGACCGAGATAGTAAGGACAGATGGAGAAACAACCCTGGATGGACAACCGATTATGACTCCAAATGATGAGGAGATGATACTTGGCACCCTATTGTCAGAAGTAGAAACCTTTAAGATCCAGCACAATGAAATAAAACACAGTTTGCAAAAGGAACAAGTGGAGAAAGAAGATATGAGGAAACAGATATATCAATTAGAAGGAGAGCTGAGGAAGAAGGAAGCAGAATTATGTGCTATGGAAAAGAAGCTCAAGAATAACAAAGGACGAGCTGCAGCTACACATACGAATTTGACTTCAAGAGGCAATGAGTTTGCTGCGCCTCCTTCTGCTAAAGCACATACTAAGAAGTCAAAATCAGAAATGCATAAGGTAATTGTTTGGCTTCCATACATCAAATCAGAGATTGAGTATAATTATTATTGGTATTTCATATTATTATTAGGATGTGTTAAATGGCTGAATCACTCCCTGATAACTTATGCACACTACATATTAAAGAGTAACTAGTAACAAACTAACAACTTTTATAATCCATAAAGATGGGTACAAATTTTTGGGAAGTGATATTAGAATTTTCTACAGTATGGGGTCGAGGGGGTTGGTTATATACTGTATAGCAAACAATTGAACTAATCAGCGTGGTTGCATTTCTCACGTTGTGATTCTACTGATTGCTTTTAAACTAGCAATTTTGGAAACTACATTTGCTTTTCATTTTTCATACCAAATACATATGTAAATGTGACATACTTTGTAATATTATGAAAAATTACCAATAAGGGGAAAGAAGGACCTCTACAATATATATATGGACATTTTGGTCTTCTCTCAATATCAACAAATACATTTGAAAAACCATTTTATATCTTCCTTAAAAGATTATTGCAAAACGGAACCCACCTTTTATCTAAGAGAAGGAATAGAATCCCCTCATTAAATTCAACCAAACTGAGGGTGGTGAAAATGCATCTGCAGCATTGTTAAATATTCTGTGGATGTATTTCAGAAAATCTAAAATTTCTGTCACATACAGCTAGCAGAGTTTCAAACAAAATATGCCTAAAAGCCAATTTCTAAGGAACTTGAAACACATTACAAGCCATATGTACAAAAGCAAGCATAATATAAAACCACTTGAGAAACTTCAGGAATGAGAATGTTAAATTTTTTACGATCCACGAATCATGATAAAACTCTATATGGCAAGGTGAATAAGCAGATCATCTCAAACTTAAAATTGTGCTAAAAGAAAATATCTGATCATGGTTTAACCTTAGTGTAGATCTTCACACATTAGTTGATCTTGATGCTCTAGAATAACTCAGACTGGTGTTATATTTGTGACATGAAAAGGGAACGGATGAAGGAGGAACAATAGGGAAGTCAGCTCAGATCAAAGTTTGTCTAGCTCCGGGAAGGTAAAATCAAATTCATTTCCTTCCATCTGAGTCCCTAGTTCCCTTGAACATAAAAGATTGGTGCCACAGATGCCAAATTTGTAGTTATGCCTCACATCTCATCCAAGAACTAACTTTTATTAGTTTTTGTCTCCTTCTTACTCTGACAGTGAGGTTAAAACTTGCTTGGCAAATGAGGTGATTGTCTCCAATAATAACCATGATGAAGAGTCCCATACAGATGAATTGTTGAATGAAGTGGCAGTGCTGAAGGAAAGGAACAAGAATATGGAAAGCGAGCTAAAAGACATGGAAGAAAGATATTCAGAGATTAGTCTAAAATTTGCAGAGGTAGAGGGAGAAAGAGAGCAGCTTGTTATGGCTCTACGCAATCTCAAGAATGGCAAGAAGAACTAGAATTCTCTGCAGGTTCAATGTCAAGAACAAAACATACATTGGTTATGAAGGAGGCTGGATATCATGATCTCCAAAATGGTGGAACTAAGTTTAGCCAGTACTTTGCACTTCTGTTGTGACCTATATCCTGTACATCAACTCACAGTTTTACCTCATCTAAAATCTGGTGGGCCACTTGGTCCAATATTTGTTGTCTTACGATACAATGGCAAGATAGCCAGGGGTACGATGCTAGCCTCATACAGGCATTGTAGCCAATTGCCTATCATCAATTTGACATTTTTGGCATGCAATTAACATATAAACAATACATGCTTATGAATGACAATATGGACAAAATAAAGAGAAAAAAACAAGCTTTTAAGTTTAGAAATATACAAGCCTTGGTGGTATTACTAGTAGTTTTCTAAGGCTATAGTTAGAAGCTAATCTTAGAAGTTCCTATTTTAATGTTTTTAGTTATTGAAAAAACTGGTGTTTGATGTCATATACAGAAAGTAACTTTGAAAAGCACTTTGGTTCTTGGTAAAACACCACTTGAGTATTTTACATGGTTGAAAAACTCACAAGTGTGTAATATTAAGTTTGTTAATACCATTTTGACAATTCCAAAACATCATTATTGTTAAAATAAAAAAAAATAAAAAACAATTTTGACCAAAAATGAAAAATAAAATAAAATGTACAACCAATTGTTTGAAGTATGCTGGGAAAAGGCAATGAGTGGATACAAGAAATTTGTCTGAACTTGGTTGTAATCTCTGTATATCCGTTTCTTCACTCTTGAACACAGCTTTGTCCTCCCCCCACCCACATTTGGTATAAGCAACATATCCAAAGTTGTATTTACAGTATCATATCCAAAGTTGTATTTACCGTATGATATCCAAAGTTAGCGAATATCATAATTATTTGTATATATAAGTTGTCAGAGAATTAACGAAACCATAAAGAGAATGAAAGAGTACTTGTGTTTAGCTTTCCCCTCCTCCAAAGAGCCTCAGACACCTGTTTATCAGTGAAAAGGACAGTTTACGTGTGTAGTTAACCCACATTTGAATGAACCGTTGTCCTTACTCAGGTGGGACCCACTTTCCATATCCAGAATCTTAATCAACATGTCCAAGACAACAAGAACAATTTTGTTTTGGAACAAAGACGTCCACCATTTACTGGTCCACGTATACAAAACTACTCAACACGTGTCATATTACAGAGACGTGTCGGTTAAGCACACGTGTATCCAGTTATGAGATGCCACAGCCATGCAACGGTGGCATAGTGTGTCATGGCCTTCTCCCATAAAAGGTAAACCTTTTGATCTCTCTTTGTCATAATTATCATTAACGAGAGAGCAGTTTCTTTTCTTCTGTTTTTCTTCATGGATTCTAGAGTTGTTGAAAGTCAAGTGCATGAGAACGATGAACATCACCCCTACAATGTTGCCTCACAGCAAGGTATATGAATCACATTTTAAAGCAAGTTTTCTTAAATTTGGAAGCACCAACGCTAATTTATCTATAACTTTTAATTTTTTTAAAAATGATTTTTGAATGTTTATTCTTCTGCTTCAAATTTGGATGTAGTGGCACATGGTGCAGAAGAACCCCACTCTGACCATGAGAAGAAGTCTGTTCTGAATAAGGTCAAGGCAAAGGCTAAGAAAATTAAGGACACCATCAAGAAGCAGGGCCAACATGTCCTTGATCATGGCCATGAGTACAACAATGAAGATCAGCATATCCCTGATGATCATGACTTGGATGAGGATGAAGAAACTGTTGAAGACCCAGAAGTTCAAGGAGCACCAAGTATGTATTTTTCTACATCTTCTGCAATTAGATATGCTAGAATAGAAGGACTAGTAATAGAATCAGGCCTTTATTTGTAGATACTTTTCTAAATATTTTTCTTCAAAATAAAAGGTATTCAGAAACTTTTTTGGAAAAATTGAATCCTTTTCAATGATGGAAATAAAAAATAAAAAATAAAAAATATATGATATAAGTTGATTTGTATGATATGCTTGGATGTTCAGCAGTGTATGAAAGTGAAGCTGTTAAAAGTGCTACACCAACATCTGAGCAAGTCAGAAATTTAGGGAAATCAGGAACTAATTTTGGAGGTGCAAGAGTCATGGGAGAAGAACATCATCAAGATCCACTAGTTGTAGGCGATTCTTCAACTACTGAAATCAATCAAACCATATCCTCTGACCCAGACAAAAAATTTGCTGGGGAAGAGAAGCCAGGGCAATATAAGGTCAATTTGGAGAGGCCAATAGGCTTGGATGAAGATCCTCACGCGCCAGGAAGTAAACCTGAGGCATATATTCCTCCCAATTATCAAACTAAAGTCACTGATCCAAGAGGGGCAGGTAAGTAGGACGATTAAACAAAGTTGCTAAACTCATTTTTTCTTTTTCTTTTCTTTGTTTTGCTATGGACCCTGCATTATGTATTAATATGTAAGTGTACAATTGTAAAAGATTTAATGGTTAAATTAATAAAATGGGTGTTTATTAAAGTTGATTTTTTTTAAGAGAGAGGCAGACACACAAATTTTTTTTATTTAAATTTTAAATTAAAAAAAATCACTCACTTTCTCTTTTCATTTTTATTTTTCTGTGTCTATTTCTCTCGTGAAATGACATAACTTGTGTCATTTAACACCAAACCTTTCAACTATACCTTCAATTTTGCAATAAAAGAGTGGCGTTTGATTTTAGTATTGGTGACTTGATGGGTCTAAGTTTGCTAAGTATCCAAAAATTGAAAAATCAATACACTGAATAGTGTAGAATGTGAGTGTGGGTAACAGATTTATGTACCATTAGAATAAGAATTTTATATGTGATGGCTTACAGGAATTGATGAAATAGAAATTACACCAGTTGAGGAATCTTTTGCTGAAATGAAAGTCCACGATGAGCCAAAACATACCCCAGAACCAAATGTCAAGCCAACTATTGTGGATACTCAATACAGTCCTGCTGGAAGCCATGAAGAGCAACAAAAAAGTGGGGATGCTTCTAACATGTCAGGGTCCACCGCAGAATATGGAAAGAACATTGCTCACTCTATGGCAGAGAAATTAGCTCCAGTTTATGGGAAGGTTGCAGGGGTAGGAAGTGCAGTCAAGTCCAAAGTGTCTGGAACTATAACTGGTGGTGTGAGAACTGAAACAAAAAATGGAGTTGAAGAAGAGGACAAAGGGGTTTCTGTGAAGGACTATTTGGCTGAGAAGCTAAGGCCTGGCGAAGAAGACAAGGCACTTTCTGAGGTAATCTCAGAAGCTTTGCATAAGCGGAAAGAGGAGGAGCCAGTGAAAATAGAGCATGAAAACTTAGATATTGTTGATGACAAGTCAGAGAAAGTGTATGAAGAAAGCAGTGTGAAGAGTCCAGGAAAAGGTGTAGTTGACAAGCTTAAAGGTGTTGTTGGCTCTTGGTTTGGCAAATCAGAGGAAAATCAATCATCACAAGGTAAGTTGCCTTGACAAGGTTTCTTTTTCTAGCAGGTTATGCAAAATGTTGTTATATAATTCTGATTTGAGGTTGTTGTTATTTATAGTTGCTGGAGGTGAAGATTTATCAGAGAATAAAAATTCTGGAGCAGAAGTGGAACATGTTACCAAGTTGTAGGTGAAGGAAGAATACATGAGTGATCCAATTGAAGAACAAGGGACTCCTTAAATTTCTTTGTGGATAATACTTCTGAGCAGTGCTACCGTTACATGTAGTTAGATACTTGTACATTGGTGGATTGATGTGAAAGTTATTATATGTTTGTGTAGATCTGGAATTTATTTAAATTATGATATTATTGTAGAGGATGAGAGACTAAGACTCTGTTATTATTAGGTTAAATGAAAAAAAAACACCACTATCTTATTGTATTTTGTATTGTAATAAATACTTCAATTCAATTTCTGATATGTTATTACATATTTTTACGTTCATAATTTTTTTTTTCTCTCCTTGGTGTGTTTATAAATTTTAAAGAATTTTTTTGATTAGAAGGCTAAAATTAGAGATTAATAAACACTTTGAATTTTTGCTTGATAAAGTGTTTTAAACTTGATAAAAAATCGACATTAGATTGGCAAATAAAGCCCGATATATATTTACATAACTCAAGCCATATAAAATTAAACATTGTGTTAGCAGTTATCTAAAATTTAGTTAAGTAGGACCAATTTGATCAGTTAAACCGTTGATCGAATCTCATATTGATATACGTCAAATTATTTTGATGATTCAATTGTCTAAAATAAATAAAGACTGGTTTTTGTAAAATAAGCTAGTTTATGTCATAGAAATAAAAACTGAACTTACTTAGATACAGGAAGAGTATGCAACTTTTTTTCCAATAGAACATATATTACTTTAGATTAACCAACAAGAAAGTTATATCAAGTGGTAAGTGCAGTTTTAGAGAAAGGATAAGTGTTCAAATCTGAAATCATATGTTTACAAATTTTTTTTTATAAATTTTTGTAAATTATATTATGTACTTCTGAAACTTACATTAGGTTACGTTATATATTTTTTAGAGTACATAATATAGTTTGTAAACAAAAAGTTTATAAATATAATCCTCTCTTTAAAATAAAGAGAGAAGTGTTTCTCTAGTGACCGGCGGAGATACAATTATCTCCAGTAAACTCAAAACGATATCATTTTGGAGTTGGAAGATTAAAAAATTAAAATAATAAAGATTAATATAACTCTGAAATAAATTATAATTACAAAAATATATTTCTCTCAATCCTAAAATAATATAATTTCGAGTTTACTAGATATAAGTTATCTCACTCAATCACACTTAATCTTAAAAAATATAGTGAGTAGTTTTGCAAACTAAAAAACTGTTTTTAGAACTGAAAATCAAATAGGCTCATTCATGATACATGATACATCTAACTTTCATTCTCTCTGTTTTTTAGGTTTTAACTTCTGATTCAACCTTTGGAAGATGGAAAAGGAGAAACAATGAAAGATGTCCAACAAGAAACCCACACTCAGAAGTGTCTGAACTTGAAGATGGAAAAGGAAAAACACTGAAAGATGTCCATCGAAATGAGGGGTAGAATGCGTCTAGTAGAACTAGAATTGTTCTTCTTTTTCTAAAAGTTAAAATTTATAGCTTTTAAAAAAAATTGAGTTTTGGCTTTTTCCTTAACTTTTACTTTTTTTTATAAGTAAGTATCCAAACACTACACAAATTTCAGAAGCCCCTTTTTTTTTTAAAGAAACATCTTTTTTTTTGAAAAAAACCCATCCAAACATCACCTTAAGAGCAACAACATTATCTAGTAAAGAACAACCTGATTCGGAAAGCATGTCCCAATAAAGCAATGTCCAATTCATTTTGTAATGGTTTGTCTGAATGAGCCCAAAATGCAATGGACACTGCTTAAAGCCCAAACTCAGAAGAATTTAAAAAATGCATGTTAATAAAACGATGCGTTTCGAGACCATTTTTTACTTTCTTCTTCCTTGCTCTCCCGCGTTAGGGTTTTGTAGAGTTCCCATTTTGATTTTTTTCTTCACTGTATGAGCCCGCTCACACCAGAGACAATGAATTGGAGCTCCATATGATGCCATTTTTTGACACCCACAATGTTGTTTCGACCAGTACTCTAAAATACCGTCCGACATGGTACGCAATTTTGTCCCTTTCATGTTTTTCTCGTTGCTCTTGTAGACTCAATCTGTTTGGTGAAACCGGGTTTTCGATTCGATGGGTATTCACCAAATCACATGCACAATGGGCTTCTCGAAGCTTCCACAGCAAAGGAACTCCGTTCTACTATTAGGTAAATCGTGTTCGTTGCGCATTTCAGAGTTGCAGAGATGATGGGTTCGAATTCGAACCATGAACTCAATAGCCCTTTTAGGTCCAAGAATGGTCCACAAATTTTCACATTGTTTGATTATTTCGAGGAGACTATGTAACCATCCCTTCAATGGTGATGAATTTGAATGCGTTGAGGAGCCTTTGAAAAAAGTAGGTTCAGATTATGATTCCACTGTGGATGAGAGGCTCCATTTGAACGAGGATTGGAGCTGTAACCAAAAGCCCTTTTCACTCAGAAAAGGGTTCTTAGAAGCTGTGAAGTTAGATGCTAAGAGGGTCCTTGAGGTTCTTCGGCAAGATGGTCCTGGTCTTGATTCCAGGTTGGTTTTAGCTGAGTTGCATATAAGGCCATCAGGGCTTCTTGTGAGAGAGGTTCTCTTTGGAATTTTGAAGAGCATAAATTGTGAGAATAAGACCAGGTGTGCAAAGCTGGCATATAAGTTTTTTGTGTGGTGTAATCAACAGGAAGCTTACCGGCACACTGCAAATTCCTATCACTTAATTATGAACGTATATGCTGAGTGTGAGGAGTTTAAGGCTTTGTGGAGGTTGGTTGATGAGATGATTGAGAAAGGGTTTCCAGCTACTGCCCGTACTTTCAATATTTTGATACGTACTTGCGGTGAGGCAGGCTTGGCTAAGAAATTGGTGGAGAGGTTCATAAAATCAAAAACTTTTAACTATAGGCCTTTTAAGCACTCGTACAATGCAATTCTGCATGGTCTTCTCGTTTTAAAACAGTACAAGTTGATTGAGTGGGTTTATCAACAGATGTTGCTTGAGGGTTTTTCCTCAGATATTTTCACTTATAATATTGTTATGTATGCCAAGTACAGACTTGGAAAGTTGGATCAGTTCCACAGACTGCTTGATGAGATGGGTAGAAATGGATTTTCTCCGGATTTTCATACCTACAACATTCTTCTTCATGTTCTTGGTAAAGGGGACAAACCGCTTTCAGCTCTTAATCTTTTAAATCACATGAGAGAAACAGGTATAGAGCCAACTGTGCTTCATTTCACCACATTGATAGATGGACTCAGCAGAGCTGCTAATCTGGATGCTTGCAAATACTTTTTTGATGAGATGATAAAGAACGGGTGCATGCCAGATGTGGTGGCTTACACAGTAATGATAACAGGATATGTAGTAGCTGGTGAGCTTGAGAAAGCACAGGAAATGTTTCGTGAGATGGTTTCTAGAGAACAAATCCCAAATGTGTTTACATACAATTCCTTAATTCGGGGATTATGTATGGCAGGAAAGTTTGATGAAGCATGCTCAATGCTCAAGGAAATGGAGGCCAAAGGTTGTAGTCCAAACTCTGTTGTCTATAATACATTAGTGAGTAGTTTGCGGAATGCTGGAAAGATTGCTGATGCTCATGAAGTGATAAAACAGATGAAGGAGAAGGGGAAGTATGCGGTATAAGATATAGACATATAGAGTCATAAGGTAGATTTTCAAATTGGATATTGTAATTCACGGGGCATCAACTTTTGATCTGGCTAAGCGAGACCAATTACCTGCTGCTTGTTCTGCTGGTTAGAAGCTGGAGAAATAAAGTATGTGGTCCCCTCCTCCCCCTCCTTCCCCTAATATACATTTCTTTCTACACTCAGTAACTGACATGTAAACCTGTATGTCCATTTTTTCATAATATATGATCAATAGTTATTGTTCATTATTTTAGGCTATGCTTCTTTTAATTCATATCTTCTTGCATTTGCCAAAGAGCTTATTCCTCAATACTAAGGTTCTTAAATGGTCTTTATTTATTTTAGGGAAAAGTGTGTATCATTTTAAAGGATGTAAAGTTGTGTCATTTTAAGTGAGAGAAGAGATAGATAAAGGAGGAGAGAGAGTGGACAAAAAAATATAAAAGTGTGGGTCCCACATCTTTGTGAGAGTGAAATGACATAAATTGTGTCATTTAAAAAAACAAACATTTTTCCCTTTATTTTATAGTGTAAAAATTATGTTACTTGGTAGTAACTAATTTTTTTGGGCTTAAGTAATATAAATTATAACTGGAGTTATTTATATCAATTCTTTGGTTTTTGCAGTAACTATTTATAACACTGGCGGACCCACTTGCGGGAATTGCGGGCAAATGCCTGCAAATGCAGACATAAAATTTTTGGTTTCAGTTTTTTTTTTTTCTTTTTTTTTGGTTGCAGGTCCTTATTTGTCTCTTGGTTCAATATATATATAAGGAGTAAATACCCTTTTAAGTACCTAACAAAAAATATGGTTCCCATTTTAGTCCCTTACAAAAAAAAATTAGTCTCGAGGTCCCTAAAAAATTTAAAGTGGATCAATTTAGTTAAAATTGTGGTCCCTCACAAATTCAAAAAAGATCTACATTAGTCCCTCAAAAAGACCAAAATGGGTTCACTTTGAATTTCATAGGGACCAGGTGACTAATTTTATTTTATAATGGACTAAAGTGGGGACCAAATTTTTTGTTAGGGACCAAAAATGATGTTTATTCTTATATTAGTTAGCAACGTAGTAACGTACGGAGATGATTAAAACAACGTAGCAACACAAATTGATTAGAGAGAAAACTTATTATTCCTCCCCTGTCACGTACCCATTCCCATGCTCTCTTCATCCTTTGTTTCCTTTTTCATTTTTATAAAAAGAGAGGATTGATTGCAGGACTGACATTCTCAAATAAGTTAATATCTAGAGACGAGACTTTCACTGTGATTTTGCTTGCCTTCTGTATAGGTAGTGTTGACTTTTTTATTCACCACTATAAAATAGAGTGATGATGTATGGATGTACTGGAGTATATTCTCATATTTGTTTTTGAGGATTGGTAAGATTTAGGAGGGGAGAATAATTGGTCAAACTATTGCCTGCAGCTTTTATGGAAGCAACTAGATTATGAGCGGGTTCAAGCGTTGATTTAAACTTTCTTTACAAAAACAAAATTCGGGGGCGCTACCCCCGAACCCCCGTCACTAAATGTGCGGACATAATTTTTTTTTTCTGGGTCCGCCACTGATTCATAAGTTATACATGCATAAAGGATTGATCATGTGAATGCTGGACAGTCAATCCATTAATTTTGTACACTAGTTTCTCTTGTTTTTTTTTTTTTTTTTTTTTTGGTAACAACACTAGTTTCTCTTCAACTTTTGGAAATTATGGATTTTAACGCCATCTTGCTTGTTTGAAAAACTTTTCTTTTTATCACCTGAAAAGTCAACAGTGTTCTAAAAAAGGGCAAACCCCTTATCATTGCATTTGTGTGAAGAAGCTATGTCCTAGACTTGAATTGCCGATCACAAAGGAAGAACCTTATCAGTTATCATATCACTGCTCCAAAGGCAACATTGTTCTATTGAGGTAAAAATTTCATTCTTATAGTTTATAGTATGACTGTTTGCTATAATCTTTTTCCACTGTAACCTTTGTTTCAGGATGAATTTTTTTAATAAATGATCAATTACGTATTTTAATTATTGGGCTCATCCCCTTCTTTTGACATTTGAAGTGGTATCATTTTCATTTGTTCCTTATTGGTTATTGTTTTATATCAGCTGAAATTTATGTCTATCATTCACGATTTTGAGATTAAATTTATAAATAAAATGTTCTTTTAATTTGAGTTGTAAGACTTAAGTCTCCTGGTTCATTAGTGCATTTTCACAAATCCAGAGCAAGCAATAGTAGCTTAAAATATTGCCAAGAGGCAGGGATGCAGTAATTTATTATGTTGCTTTCCACACACATGCTTAAGTTGGTTGCTTTTCTTCGTGGCTTCAAAGACAGCCATTAGTCTGCCTGCCATGTTACAGACGAGGATTGAAAAGCATATCCCCTTTTACTGTCAGGCTATTGTTATGGTTCATTTGTTGGCTTTATATTTTTACTGTGTATACACATGATAGGAGTATTCTGTCATATGCAGAATGGCAGCGCTAACTCCAAACAATTAGGATACTATGCAATATGTAATCTTCATCTTGCATGACATGTTTTCTTGCACATGCCTATGGTATTGGGCATATTGGAGTTTGTTGTAGATAACAACTCGTCTTGGTCTAAAAAACCAATCTTATCTGTATAACTAATGGCATTGAAGATAAAATACATATTTTATTTACTCATTTGGATTGCAGTTGCTTTTGTTGTTCGCCAATTTCCATCTTCGTTGTTCGTTTGAAAATTTTCCTAGGTAGGGACCTCCTCTTCAATTTCATACACATAGATTTTGGCTAATTGTCTTTTATTTATCATGCTCGTGATGCTTACATAGACCACTTTAGTACAGTTTTTCGGGTACATGGGGTCAGGTAGCTAAATCTATAAAGAAGGCTAGCTTTTAATTCTCTACTCCATTGTTTCTATCGACCTTTATCTAATCTGAGTCCTACCAAACCTTTTTAACTCTCACCCGGAGCGGAAGGTTCTTTTTCTTCTATAAAACCATTATCATATTTACTTTTGAATCTGCACTCATAAAAAGATGCACATTTGTTCTTGCAATTAAAAGCATAACACGTGCAGTTATGTTATTCTTTGTACAGGATCAGTAGATTCAGGACAGCCTCATACCGTTACAGGTACTAAATTTTCTGCTTATGGGATTGGCAAGTCAGAAACCTGAACGCAAGTGTATTCATCATCTAAGTCGTGGGGCTCGGTATCTGCCTTCAATGAACATGGCCATTGCTCTTTATTTGGTCTGTCTGCTAAGCCTATTGGGCTTTTTGTTTTACCTCTTGGTCGTTTCTACTTGGTTGTATGCTTGTATTATTATTCTTGATTGAATCGGTCAGTTGTAACTGACCATCATAAAAAATAATAATTGTCCAGTTACATACTTTAATGGAGACTGGCTGGCATTCCTAGAGGTACAATCATGTCACGAATGCCTAATAGGACAATTGATCAATGCAATTTTTTAGTAGGGGAGGCCCCACCACTATAAAGGTGCCTAGAGACCAGGGAGAGGAGAGGAGGGGATAGTAGAGTGGAAAAGAAATGTTCCATGGAAGGGGTGTATTTAACTCTTGCCGCGAAGCAAGAACACTTTGAATCAATAAGGAGTTCATAAACTGAGAACTTTTATCAAAGGTACGACTACAAGGAAACAAGAATATAGAAAAACACAACTCTCGATCATCCAGCCTCCTTGAGCCTGTTTGGATGCTCTTATTTTTAAGCTAGAAGCTACTTTAAGATAAAGTTAAAATAAAGAGCTTAAAAAAAGAAGCTAAAAGCTGTTTGGAAATTACAAAAAAAAATTTAGCTTAAAAATTACTTAAAAGCACATATTTCAAGAAAATTATCTTTTTTTCTATCTTTATCACTCTTCATTTAAAAAAAAAGCACACAATTCAAGAAAAACAAATAAGAGCTAAAAAAAAGCTCCTCCTAGGAGCTTTTAATTTTCAGCTTTTTCTTCATTATAAAAAAAAAGCTTTTCGTTATAAGAGCTTTTTCCAAAACCTGTTTGGCCTAACTTATGCTTATAAGTAGCTTCTAGCTTAAAAATAAGAGGATCCAAACAGGCACTTGGTTAACTTGAATTTCTCCTTAAAATTGCATTTTTAAACAAGGAAATCAAGTGGGCCCTACAACATTCTCATTATGCCATATTTAAGAATAAGAACGTAAATCTATTCCTTCCGGGGGTTAATAACATGATCAGTATTACTTATCATAAGCTGGAGAATTCACGAGTTACAGAGAAAGGGCCTCTATTATTTTGCGTAAAACCACTGATTCTTTTTCCCCCGCTTTATTTTTCTTTTCGGTCTTATACTTCTCAGGATTATTTTTTGTCATCTCAGAGAATTTTTCAAATATATATCAATCTTCGCCTGTAGTTGTACTTGTATGACTAGTCTGCAACTATGTCAAGCCATTTTTGGGTTCTTACTATTTTCTCACATGTTGAGCATAATGTCGATAAATACAATATATACTGAGGAAGCACTTGTATGCTTAAAGACGCAGAGGACACATAATAATTATTTAAACAGTCACGAGCTTATACTTATTTGAAGTAATTGTGTCCTAACAGTTGAAATTAGTAACTTGCTGAATGGTTTTCAGGTTAGAATGTCATAAAATTTAATAGACTTCCGTGTCATTGTTGTCCATCATGTGCAGCCATACCTAACCAAATGATTCAACAAAATGATCAATGAAAAGGCTTTGCTCATCAAGCAATCTTGTAAATTTGAGTTATGTCTCGCTCTCATAAGAATGATTTGAAGACCTTTCCTTTTGTCTTCTCTCAATTTTAAATAGCAAGGTTGGATTCCTTAGTCCCTTTCGGACTTTGGCTTCATCTAGCTTTTACAGAAAATGAACCATAATGAATGGAAGAGGATTTTTGCGTTGCCATTTCTTTTTTGGCCTTTTACCATCACTTATTACACTTTACAAGCATGAACAAAAGGAACAGATATCATCAAACTTAAAAAAGTTATTTGCACAATGAAAAATTTTCGTTATTCATGACATGAACTATATGAACAATTTTGCAGCTTAGCATGACTTCTCTCTATATAGGAAAATATGAAAAATCCAATGATATGTATTATTGTCTTTTATTTTTTCTCTTCCTTTTTCTCTTCCTTCTTTTCATCTTTCTTTTCCTCTTTCTTCTCTTCCTTGGCAGGTCCAACTGATATTATATCTACCTTACCTACTTTCTTCAGCTTCTTCACTACTGCCACTGGATCCATTTGACCAATCACTGTTAACTTCTGTTCCTTCACATCTGCAGCAATCGAATCAACCCCTGTTGATCAAAGTACCAACACTTAAAACATATGGATCCTCAGTTGAATTCCATCAACATGTATCCAAGGCAAAAAAAATTGGTTTTCTATGAACAAGATTTAAGGTTTATGAGTCAGGAAGAAAATGAAATTATGAAAAAGCATGTGAAAGTTAAAACACCCACCAAAGATATCTGCAGCTGCTTCTATTGCTTTCTTCTTTGTTTTGTCATCTATCATAGTAAGGACCTTCAACACCACCTTCTGCTATGGATCCAGTGAAGGACAGCACATGCAGACAGAGATACAAGAGGATATAATAAAATTTGCATCAAATAATTTTAAATTGAATTATGCATATAAATATAACCAAATAATCATGAACATGTACAAAAAATTAAAAAAATAAATCTGCAAAAAATGAATATGAAAATCAGTACCTGAGCCATTCCGAAGAGGAAGATGAGTGTGAAAAAAGGCTCGAGAACTTGTGGCCTTTGTAAAACAAGGTAAGGCGTGAGGTTGTGGATTTCTTCTTTTATTTGTGGGTGTCTCTGTGTGTGTTACATCCAAAAGATGACACTTTATACGCAAATTTCTGGCCAGCATGGCGCAACTCAATATCACACATAGGACAAATGTTTGACTACATGATGGCATGCTACACGCCATTTGAATTTTCTTTTCTTTTTTCTCTCACTTTCTTGTTATCTTTTCCTACCTAAAGAAAACAAACATTTTTGATCATGTCAGGAAATATAGATTAATAATATGTTAAAACATAAGTGAAATGGAAAAAAGAATTAAGATTTTTTTTTTTAAATGGTTAGCTTTTGACTAATTAGTTGTCATTCAAAAACAAGCATATGTAGATGTAATAAGATAGTTAGTGATGTTCAAATCCATGCTAATTCATCATTTAGAATTATGAGTTTTTTATATAAATGCCAATGAGGCAACAACACAAAGTTGCCTCATCAGGACAAATAATTATAGTACAGAAAACTAACATGAAGAAAACCATGTCACTTCGTAGCAGACATCCAAATGGCTTACTTGTATAATATTATTCTATATATGATTGTCTGTTCTACAAAGTGCATTTGGTGTCATAGAACCTTTGAAAAGGAAAGATGATACAATACTTAAAATACACTAGAACTTAAAAAAACATAAAAAAACAAAAAACAAAGTAGGATCCTACAAGAGCTAAACTTATTCTAATAGATACATCTTTCTTCTTCTGCAGGAATAGATTATATATAACAAAAGTGGTTCATCTCTTTTCTACAAAACTCACTCCATTTGTTGTAGTAAATGACATACATTTAGAACTTCCAAATAAAAACCAATCTTGTTGGTTGAAGAAATTTTTTTGAAGGATTAAGATGGTAAAGCGATTTCAAAATTGTAAGCAGACAGCCAAAGAGAGTTAATTCCAATTGAAGTATCAGCTATGCAAGGATGACTAAAAATTTGAAAGATCATGGTGGGATTCAAATCTAATGGTTAGAACTTAAAAGTTAAGGTTACATACACAGTTTGTGGGTCATGTGATAAGGAATATTCAGGAATCTCTTTGTTAAAAAAATGTTGAAATATAAGACTCTTCCCTACTCTACATGAGAAGTAACAGTAGAACTCACTACACAACACAATTAAATGTAAGGAGGCTTTTGAATATCTCCACCCACGTTGTCAGAACTCAGTTGGTGAAATGGTGATATATATGCATGTGAGTTTACTGTAGCAATTGTATCCAATAAAGTTATGGTTTATATTATGAATTTCTTACGTGTTTTTGCAGATCTAAATTGTTCTCTATTTTATGGACAAAATAATTTGTTAGTTTTTTTTTTTTTCATTCTATAAAGACTCTATTTCTTTGTTTATTGGGGAAAATAGAATTTATAGTAATTTCGTTGTCAAAATATTTGAATTAAGATGTAATATTAGGTTTATATTTGTAATATGTTACTTAACCCGTTAACTGTTTTATTTTTAAGCTTCTCATGACCCCATAACAAGTGAGTAAATGATTCAGTTGGACCATTGGTGCTCGGATTCATACCTAATCCAATATAATTAACCTCCTCAATTAATTTTTTCCTGGCCATGAACGTGTTTGAAAGGTTGTTTATACTGATTTTGTTGTGGCCATAAACTTGTTTTAAAGGTTGGATCAGTGAAATCCAAACAATCCAGCGTGACACATGCAATCAATGACCCACCGGTAATTTGAAATAATTTATTGAATTGAATATGAGAACAAATTGTGGGAGTCCAACCATTTTATAAATTAGGGTTCATTTTTTCTGCAGTTACTACATATAAGTTATATGCAGTAAGCCCAATACGACATCGTTTTGGAACGAAAATCATAGTGTTTTTGTAATTTTAATTTATTTCAGGGTTATTATAGTCTTTATAATTATAATTTTGTAATCTTTCAATCCTAAAACGACGTCATTTTAAAAGTAAATACAAATAACTTATCTGCATTAACTACAGAAATAATTTTTTGTATAAATAATAGGGGTAATTCGTATATCTAGATAAATTATCTCTTCTTTGTACATCTCTTTTATTTTGTATTTAAATTATCATGTGGCAGATTCTACAATTAGAGAAAAGGCTACAAGACTAATTTCAAGTCAGATGCACATTAGAAATGGAACTTGGATACAACCTATGTCTCTTGTTAATCACTTGGATACCGAGTCCTTAGTGTGACAACTCACTAGATTAGAATTTAACATGATTGAGGTATCCTAATTTTTCTTATGCGTTATTCTAATCTAAGAATTTAACTTAATAATAATTAGGATTTTAGAATGTGTAGGAAATTTCACGTCAACCATTTCCTATGATACATTATGGAGTTGTATACCTCGGAATGGGGCAAATTTTATATCATTTTGAAGCTCCTTATGTCTACTTTTTACCATAAAAATTCTTATATTTTCTAGAATGGTGCTATTTTGTTATAATAGGTTGCTCTTGTTCATGGAATTTCCACGGGTGGAGATGCAGCTTTGATGCTCAGTATGATTATGGTTAGTTTCCTGTGTTTCCTTTGATCACTTGATTAGGTTTACCTTCTTCACACGCATTCTTAGAATTTTTACCTCTGCTGTTCTGTTTGATGTGGATATTGGATTGGTCTTGAAATAGAGTGAAGTGTGAAATTATTTTACCTATAATTTTTTTTCTATTGCAGATCCTTCATGACAAACAAATAATGCATATTTTGGTGGCTAGCGCAAGTGTTAAGACATAAGCCTTTAGTTAGCATTTTTCTTCTGTTTCATGTATTTTTTTTAGACTTCATTTGAATTTAAGTTATCTTTTTTTTTTGGTATGCGATTTTTTTTTTCATTTTGATTGTATGTAATTGTAGTATATTTTAAATGATTTTAAAAAAATAAAAGTTGTTTTTACTGCTTATTTTTTTTTAATTATTAAGCAAAAGCCCAGCGGCGATCTTTAATGGCTGCCATATCTTTTGTCCAAAGAAAAAGTTTAATGGCTGCTTATTCCGTTGATTGAGAAAATCAACTTCAAATCACGCAGATGGATTTAGTGGCCCCATATTCGTAGGCACTTTTTAAAATGACGTCAATATTTATGTTGGCAGTTTAAAATGCCATCAATTTTTGTTGAATTAAAACCCATATGAATTTAATGTTTTTAAAAAATTAAAAATATTATTTTCGACGGAATTCTATGTACATTCCGTTGTAAACGGTTAAGAATTTTCAACGGAATTTAATTCTGTTGAAATTTTCGACAGAGTTATACATGAAATCCGTTGCAAACTGTTACAGTACTTTCGGTTGAAATTTTTGCCGTTGAAAATCGTTAAAAATTGAAACAGAACTTTTCGACAGAATAATTTTTCGTTGAAATTACAGACGAAATTGTCGATAAATTCCGTTGAAGTTTACAACAGAATATTTTCTGTTGCAATTATCGACGGAATTATAGTTAAATTCCGTCGCAAATTGTGACGGAATTTTTTAACGGATATATTTTTCGTTGAAACTTTCAACGGAATTTTTTATTTTAATATTATTTCATGACTTTATTTATTTGACGGAAAAGTAAGTCTTCCAACGGAAAAAAATTCCGTTGTAAATACCAACGGAAAAAAAAATCCGTTTCCTTTCGACGGAGGGTTATCCAACAGCAGAATTCCGTCAAAAATTCCGTCCAAAAATGATTTTTCAACGGAATTTTCATAATTTCCAACGGAAAAATTCCGTTGAAAATATTAATTTTTCTATTAGTGTCTATATATATAATTGATGATATAATACTTTATTTAGATCTACTTTTTTCTTAAATTTTATTTTAAGACAAAAACATATCATTCTCTCTCGATATATTTTAATTTTATATATATATATATATATATATATATATATATATATATATATATATATATACTTTTTTAACTATTGTCATTACAAAATTTTCATACTTAATTGAATTATTTGTTGTCATATATTAGTAAAATAATTTAATACTCTAAACAATTATGTTATGATCAATCAATATTTTGTAATAATATGATAAGACATGATTAAACTATGATGTACACATTTTTTGCGTGTAAATCAAAATCAATAATTTAAAGCAATGTTATAAAAACAAACCCGATTATTGAATCGGTCAGAGTGCTGGGTTACTAGGTCATTGGTTCAACCAGTAGGTCATTAGTTCAATCAGTGAGTCATCGGTTCAATTGCATGGCCTAATATATATATATATATATATATATATATATATATATATATATATATATATATATATATATATATCTAATTTTGATTTGAGGATACTGATTATAAATTTTTTGTTTTTAATTAAAATGAATATAAACACGTTACTATAAATAAATTAATAAATAAAGCTAAAGCTGCATACATGTGAATAGAAGAAAAATGATACATGAAAAAAATATGAAATATAAAAATTATTTCGAAATTATTAAATTTTCTTTTTTTTAAATGAACCTTTTTAGTTTCCATTGCAATTTATATGTACTAATTAAATAATTACTTAATTTACCAATTAAATCAACCCTTTTAGTCTTCCAGTTGTAATCAACTTGGGAGAAAATCAAAACCATCATTTCTTTTTATTCACATCAGCGCAGAAAATAGCTTGTTTGCAGCACTTTCCCCCTCCGCCTTTCCCATTCATTCTTCTTTGTTTCAATGTGTTTATTTTTCTTTTCTTTTATGGTTAGAAGAAAGGACTGAAAATCCTTGTTTTAGTGACTCAAATCCACTTCTAAGCAGCTTTGGGTCCAAAGGACAAATCCACTTCTAAGCAGCTTTGGGTCCAAAGGACAGGTAGCCGGGAGCGAGCTGGATTACTAAGATTGGTTCTCGCGTACCTGTTTCCAAAAGAATGGGTAAGTTCAATTCAAGTGTTCATCGATCGGGTGGATCTAAATCTGTTATTTTTCTATTTCTTCATTTATCGATGGTCGAGTTTTCTTCTTCTTCATCTATCATATCGGTGGAGTTTTCTTC